AATTCATTTAAAATGTTTAGAATAATGCCTGATGCTTGGCAGATGCTAAGGAAAATTAAAGCTGTTGTTCTACAAATGATAACATTGAGGCGAGGAATATAAAATGCCTTCTCCAAGATAATGCATGCAGCTAATGGTGAGACCCAACCTCAACTTCAGAACTCTTGAGGACTTTTCCATGTCACTGCCTAACATTCCAGAAACAAGAATTTTTTGTGTGCCTAAACATCATACACCACACTTTGAAGTAATGCAGACAGTTGGGAACTCCTCCATAAGCACATGAGAATGAGTACCAATCAGTATTACCATAAGTTCAAGACACCAACTGTAGGACCACCTGGACAGAGAATGAACTGGGGAAAGGTAAGTCTTGGCAGAATCCCTTTACACAGTCACTTGTGTATAAGGTTCTAAAATAGTTGGGTTTGTACCAAAAAAGAATAAGGAATTGCTGACCTTGACCTTGGGAGGGTTGGGGAGGAAAGCCATATTTTGGCATGCTCCATGTATATTTCTTACTGCAGGCAAAAGAACTACTACTTTCATTATTATTGTTGTTCATTGAACTTGCAGTACTCTTTCATGTCTCTGGGTAATGCACTATTCACTCTGCTAAATTTCATATTATTCTGCTTATCTTTGAGAATAAGTAGTATTTTTATTTTCCAGTATTTTGAGAAAACTCCCTTACCTCCATTGCATGACATAGATAAACCCTCTCCTATTTCCTTTAGGACAAAAACATCCTTCATCACAGTACTTGTGAGCTGTATTCTAATCATTCGCTTCCTGGTCTCTATTTCCTACCACACTAATAATAGCCTAATTGTTTTGGTGTCTGAAATACCTAGCATACAGTCTGTTATGCCAATATTTACTAACTGGAACATGGAATGAATGAATATATGAATAAAAGAAAGAGACCTCAGAGACTTATGTTAAACCAGAGGGGTATTTTTATTTAACTTGACTTCTGACCAAGGAAGTCTTCTTGACTTCTGAGAAAAGGAAGATGAAATAAGTAGTGAGGAAAATAGGTGTAACTTTGTGCGTGATAATAAATCAGTTAATGAATCTCCAAGTTGTTCTGCCTGAATCCATAAAATTAAAAAGAGTGAAAGAATTTCACTACCAGCTATCTAGCCTGATTTGCATGTGTTCAAATCTTCAAAGTATTCCTTTTGATTCCTTTAATCAATAGCTATTTTAGAAAGCTCTTCATTACTTCCTAATTGTCCAAATTCATTTTCTTCATTTTTCCTTATTAGAGGCAGATTTTTCAAATGAGTTAAGTAGATCAGCAATTTTAGAATCATTATTAACTTCAAGCATTTTTCTCAGTTATTAGCATGTCCCTTCTCTCTCGAAGACTAGAGTCTTTTCTCCATTTTAAAAAAGCCATCTGGTTTATTTTTAAAACTTCTTTTTTTCCATATATCTCATATAAAGTCAACTTTACCCTATATTAGCAATCCATGTTTACAATAATCCTGCTCACAGATACTGTATCACATTGCTGGTTTTGGATGCAGATGCAGGGAAAACTTGGTATATGTCAAAAAAGGAAGCAAATAACTAGGATTCAACTAGACTATATAATCCATTCTAAAAAATAAATTGGTAAAGCCATTTCTGAGGCACAAAAAAAAAAGAAAAATTTACAAATAATTTAAAGAAATATTTTTATTCTTAAGCACATTGAAATTTTAAAACAGCTGGGCACAGTGGCACTCATGTATAATCCCAGAGGTTCGGAATACTGAGGCAAGAGAATCATGAGTTCAAATCCAGCCTCAGCAACTCCGCCCAGCCCTAAGCAATTCAGTGAGACTCTACCTCTAATAAAATACAAAAAGGGGATGGGAATGTGGCTCAGTGGTTAAGTGTCTCTGGGTTCAATTCCCTGTATCCAAAAAAAACTTTTTTTTTTTAAATATACATTGACATCATCAACCATTCCACTATAGGGACTCTGTCCCACAAAATTTAAAACACCATATTACTGAAGCACTGATTATTGTGTAAAAAAATAAAGAAGTTTAAGTTGAAACAAATGAACGTTTACAATAAAATAACTAGTTGCAAATTTCTGGTGAATTGGTATCAAAGAATATTATTCACCTATTTGTATATGACAACATGAGTTAAGAGAAAGATAGAAAGGAGTATTCAGCCAGTTGTTACTCGGTAGGGGAGAGTATGTTGGATGGGGAGAGAAGAAAAGGCAAAGGAAAAGAAGAAGAGCACTCATGACAAAACAGTATATAAGATATGGGTAAGAATAAATGTGCCTAAGAGGATGACCACCATCACTTTCTAAAGGTAGGAGTACTGTGCAGTGTTATTAACTGGACTTTTTCCCCCTAAAATATATCTGTTTTATTTGAAATCTTGTATACATTATCTTCCATGGTGATCAGTTTCTTAGGCTTTCAAAGTTGAAAGCTAAAAGTCAATCTTTTACAATTAGGATTTCCTGAACACAGGCATCCTCCTTAAGCAGAATTCCTCAAACATAAAATATAGCTTAATGCTTGGTGGTCAAATAATAGATAAGAAAATAAAACAAAACCCAAACTTAGAAAATATCAATGGGACACTCATAAGTTTAACAGAAGTAATAAAATGTTGAAGGAAGTATCTGATACCAAAAATCAGGTCAGAACCACTAAGAACTAACTTGGCATTTTTTAAATTTGAAATTTTTCAATTTGTTTTCATTTGAGTTATTATTTATATAATTTGAAAAACATCACTACAATTATTTTATTGTGAGATTTATATTATTTATATAATTTGGAAAACATCACTATAATTATTTTATTGTAAGAGAGAGAGAGAGAATGAGAGCACATCAAGCAGCCCAAGGGTTCTAAGCTCATAACCCAGAACTTAAATACAATCACAGGATAAGGACTGTGTTAGAAAATCTTTTGCGAGACTCTAATCATTCTCCTTGATAGACTATATGTTTTATCAAGTACATTCCTTTTAAAGATAGTCTTTGCTGATTTTAATTTTTAATCTTCCTTCAAGTCTCAGCTAATGCCATTTCTTCTTAATTGGTTCTTAACTTCTTTCCCAAATTTGATTGATTTCCTAGAAAGTCTTCAAAATGCCTGCCTAAAACTCCCTTAAATTCACATAGTTTTTGTATCTCCTTTTATTTTGATAGATGAAAAGTAATACCATGTAGCAAATGTGTGAGCTCCCACCATTTCAGGTTGAATAACTCTCAGGGTTTACCAATTCCTTTTAAAATTCTACAGGAGTTATCATGTTGGGAGAAGGAACAGTGTTAAAAATCTAAAGGGGAGCACACTTGGACAATGATACTGAAAAATGCAATGGAGACTGGAAAGGTACTTTGTAAGGTTGGGGTTCTCATGACTACTAAACTTTATGGTCCATAAACCTGTGGGAAAGGCAAGATGATTTTCGCCAACCAAAAATTGAAGAAAAAAAAAAGAATCTACCTACATAAACTTAAGAAAGCATATTAATTATTTTGGTGTATAAAAGTTGTTAAGATGCTAGAATAATCAAAATATCCAAGTACTGATATGAAAAATAAAGAATAAATTAACTCAGGTATGATTTCCAGATCATTATCATTACCATATGTCTCCTTCATTACCTTTCTCCTATGGGACTTAATGTTTTGCAAGATTTGCTTCTACCAAAACAAAAGCATTTATAAAGTAATAATTAATTTTTAAAAACTCTTAATGAATCAATGATATGTTCAATTAGCCTTCACAGTTACTGATCGAGATAAGGAAACCAGTGCTGTACACGCAGCTAAAACAATTCATTTAGAGACAAATACTCTGTTATCCTGGATCGATGTAGAATTTCTGCTACTTCTTTAAAATCATGAAATAGCTGAAGATACATCCTGCAGCTCTAAAGCATCCACTGACCTCTATTTCAGAATCAGTGTTCCATAGTCAAAGAATAAATTGGGGTTAAAAAGCAGTTTTATTTTAATTTTAATTAAAAAAATCAACTCAGAAGAGAGTATCAGGATTAATTTACAAGAAGAATAGCTTTGAGGTGACCCATGAAAAACAGGAGCCTTCACCTTTTGCCAAGGGCAGCAGGAACACATGGACATGAATGATGAACTCTTAGCAATCTTCCAATTTCATTTATAAAGATCCAAATAGTAGAGAAAGAAGAAACCCATATCAGTAGAAGACAATAAATGCAGAATTTTGGATAACTCTTTACATCTGTCCCGTCAACTTCTTTCAGCTAGGTTTTGTTTTGTTTTTCCTCCTCTAAAAAGCTAACTGTAGGTGCACCCATATCCTTTGGAGACTAGAATCAAATGATCAAGTCAAAGCAAATCCTTTTGAAACTATCCCATCTCATGGCTGATGCAGTTAAGGACCAATAATTGACCATTCTGAAATTTTCCTGTACTACAGGAAACATCTTAAATATACTGAAATTGACAGTTGATAAAATACCAACCTCGAAAACCAGATTGCCAAGCAAGTATTGAAACTGAGAATCATGTAAGTTTTGAGTTTTTATTTTTGAACTTTTCAAATTAAGGGCATGAAAGTATTAAGTACCACAATACAACGAATTCATGTTAATCCCACTTTGTTCATTCATAAACCACAGAGATCTCACAGAAGAATACTGTACCAGCAATTTCAAAGCAAGGCTCTGTGAAAGATTTAACATCTGAGGTCAGGATGAGGTTTTCTTATTAAGCTGCCATTTCCTTTACAAAGTGGACTATTTTGTACTTACTGCTACCCTTTGAACTCTTATAGTGAATAATTAAAACTAAACTACAAAGCATATTTTGTGAGGCTGATTACACTTTAGGTTGTAGGTTTCTGCTTAGTGGCTCATTTTAAACGCTCACCAATCCCCAAAGGGATAACCCTGCCATTAGTTTGCATTGACATAACTGGCTGTCCCTTAAAAGCAAAGCAGACAGTTCCAACTCATAATAAATGGTCTTGTTGGTGACTCACCATATTGACAGTGGGGTCCGTGAAATCCCTGTGAACACTGGCAGTTCTGGACTTCACCATCTGAGCATTTCCTACTGTTGAAATGAGTTCCCATAGCAGAGATAGCTAAAAGGAGGGCAATCAAGCAGGGTGGGAGAATGGAGTTGAGAGAAAGAAAGAAAATCATGAATATGGGCTCCATATTGTTAATATAACATATTCTAGACATTTCTCTTAGCCCCTTCAAAGCATGGATAAAGAGTGTTTTCATTACAAGTTAAGGCCTTACTGTCCAAAGCTTTAAAGAATTCCTTGTGTAGGAATATTCCCATCACCTGAAAGCTTGCAGAAATGCAGAATTCCAGGCTCCATCCCAGGTCCACTGAATCAGATTCGTATTTCAACAAGACACCAGGTGATCCACATTCACATTCAAATTTGATAAGCACTAATCTAAAAAGTCTGCATGGATAAGACGATTGTGTGGTCAAAACAATCTAAAAATCAAATGAATTACTGATTCTTAATCAGAGGCAAAGGACTGTGATAGGTACCTTACCACAAACATAAAGAATTCATCTCATAGTTGTTAATTTCCAGAAATTCATAACATAGTGAAATAGTATGTTGGGCAGTTCTTTTCGATGATCTTAAACCAGTCAGCTGCAGTGGCCTTGCGCTTCATGTAAATAGACAGTGACCCTTGCTGCACCACTCAATGCTAAGCCTGCTTAATATGGGAAGCCCGCGGCAACCTCACAAAGACATTTCAAGAGCAGAAAGCACACTAGGGAAGGAAGCAGGATGCCAACAAAAATCCCTCAGGTACAGCAGAGCAGGAGAGATGAATTGTTGTGCTGTGGCGCTGCATTGATTGCAACACACGGAAGCATTTTAAGGGATTTCACAATAACCATAAACACATAATGTAGGTAAAGGAGCCGCTAAATGGAACCATTTCTCCTGGCAAGAATGAACTACAGAATGCCACTAGTTCTGCTGCCCAGGTGCTGTCAAACGTACCTGAAAGATTCTGAAACACCCGCACCAGAGGCTTGTAAGAGGACTGCATACCTCATCTTAAAAAGTAAACTGCCTCCAGAGTTCTGCAATTAATCATGACAAGCACAAGTGGAGAAATCCCATTTAGATTTAGTACAGTGATTTCCCTCTGGACTTCTGAATCAACTGTGGATTACAAATTTGATGATATGGGAAAGGGGCAAACAGAAAAGAGAAATGGAAGTCAAGGTAGAACCCGTCTGGCTTTAAATCAACTGTCTTTTAAATAAAGAGACAGAATATAAAGCAGCACTTCCATAGGTCCTGAGTCGTGACCTATCATTAGAAACGCTTAACAGAAAGGCTTTTTGTGCATTTTTGCACATGTCATGTGTGAATATTCAGTCCAAAGAGATGCTGTGAACTGTGGTGCTTCTAAAGATGCCGAAAACTTGACAGGCATAAGATGATTGAAGTCAAACACAGAGCAAAACCATTCTTTCTAATGACAGAAAGTTAGACAGGAAGAATTATAACTTACAGTGTAGGCAGCCGGGTTCATCATCCCATCGGCTCCAACCAGGGCAGCACCTGTAGACTGTCTGCTGCTCCCTGTTGTATACCTGCCTGTAGATGGTATAGTACCGAGTCCTAAGGAACACAAGAATCTGGATCAGGGGAATGTAATGCTTCCTTTTAAGGCAAAGTTTTCACACTCAAAAAAAAAAAAATCCCTCTCTCCAATTCAAATCCTATCATATATAACAAGACAGAAACATAGATGATAGATATAGAGATACATGTATATATGTTTATATATATGTACATGTGCATATAATCTCAATATATTATACACATATACCTCTTTACATAGGCAACCAAAATAAATTATAAGTATAGGTAATAAAAATTAAGAAGGACCCTATGTGCTGTAGTAAAAAATACCCTGAGGATCACTCAAGCTATCAAGAATTAAACTCAGGGCTGGAGCTGGAGCTCAGGGACTACATGTGCTTGCCTACCATGTGTGAGGCACTAGGTTCGATCCACAGCACCACATTAAAAAAATAACAAGTAAAATAAAGGCATTCTGTCCATTTACAACTATAAAATTGAGGGGTGGGAGAGAGAATTAAACCCAAAATTATAAAGAGAATCAAGAAACCCTGAAAGATTATGGATACATGCTTTTCAATGTGGCATTGAAGATCCCCGGGTATTGGTTCCACTACAGCACACAATCTCAACCATGGTGCTGTCACGTGCAGGGTGGCGACAGTTAGTCTTTAGTTCAAGGGAAAATGAAAATAATCAACTAATTCAATGGTGTGTGGCCCCCAAAGGAGCATAGCACATAAATAGATATAAAATATACATGCGATGCTAAAGTCTCACAGGGAGGGGGAAATTGTGGGAAAGAAAAGCTTAAAAAGGCTCCTTAGGGAAGATACCAGGAACAACACTGAAGTATTTGCGCTGACCTACCAATAGAGTATTATACCAATATCTCCAGTCTGATTTCCTTTCTGTCAGATCAATGTTATATTCATTATTTTTCCCCAAAGCACTATCATATTCTGTCCCCTTCAGACACCTTCCCCCCACATTCCAGCCTAAATTCCCTCATTGTTCAAGGTCAATTTTACTTTTTACTTCTTCCAATTTCTCTTTCTCCCCTGGCAATGAATATGCTCTTTCTCTTCTCTCAAAAATAGGGTTTATTGGCCATACCATAGCATTTTTTTTTTTACCACCTGGAAGTATAACCTAATATTTCAGAGTGTCTCTCTCTGATTAGAATATAAGTATAGGGTTGTATAGTAATGTACAAAGCCCCAAGCATCTTTCAATGCTGCCACCACTCTGAACCCAGAGTCATACACGGAATGTCTAAAACTACTAAGCTCTTGAGAATATAAATATAAAATCTGTTTTACTTATTTAGATTTCCTTTTCCCAATTCTGCATATCTATAAGGAATAGGTATTTCTTTCTTTGGCTCAGACTAATACCAACAATGATTAAACCTCATGTGAGCAGTAGAGAAAATCTAAATGAAAAACCATTTACAAAACAAGTACTCTGATGAATAAATCATATGCCCTGTAAGTATGGTTTCCATTCTAATTTATTTTAAAATAAATTTTTCTGCCACAGCATTATACTACCTAAAATATATTGGGTCCCTATCATGTACCAAGCATTGTGCCACATGTGCTAAATATATTTTCAGTTAATTCTCATAATACCCATGCATGGCATTATTTTTCCAACTTTACAGACTAAGGCACAGAAAAATCTAGGATTTTTGTGTAAGACCACAGAGCAAGTAGAAGTCAGGGAAATTTTTCTGATCTAAATGTCAATTAAATATGCTTAGTTTGGACCAAAAATAAGAGTATTCACCTAAAGGTTGAACACACATGTGCACACACACACACACACACACACACGTGCACAACACAGTATATGTAAATATCCCCAATCATAAACTGTTTAGTCTTATCATACTGTACATAGTTCTATATTGTAAGTGTTCTGATATTTCTCTACCATGGCAAACCCAGCTATTTATAAATGTCCCCAACTTTCCACTGGCAATAATAGTATCAATACTAAATTCTTCATTAACCTGAAACTACACTTTTTTTTAAGGTTAAGTATCTTGAGTTCAGATTCAGTTGACTGATTTACATAAAACTCAATCCCTCAGCAACAGTTTGTATCAATAGGTTCTTAGATGTTTTTAAAAACTATTTTAAAACTTTGAGAAAAAAAAAATATCTGCAGGAAGCCCTGGCTCCCAGAAAGCATTGTGGACACTGACTTTTCTCTCCTCTTCCAGCCTGCCGAGTTAATCCTAATTCAAAGGCCATAATAAAGTTAAAGAAGCTCTAGGTTTCAAAGTGCTACAAGAGTACAAGGGCAGGTCAGAGGATGGTTCACAATTGTAGATCCCCTGGATCCAAGTCGTGCTAAATTTAGCACACCGACACAATATTCCTTGTTTCTGTCAGGCTTCTGATCTTTGGCTTTCAATGGTGTATCATGTCATGAGGTAAAATTAGTGGCATCTAGCCTAAAATACTTCACACATAAATGAAGCCCAAGTGAAGTGATCGTACATTCTGTCTCCGAAGAAAATACATTATTCTGAAAGTTCTTGGTGAGTGTACCTTACGCTCATTTACTTAAGCATGCAATTATTTCCCCAAATTTATTGGATGAAATATTTAGAAGCAGATGAGGCTTCTGGTTTTCATTAGTCATAATCACATGAAAAGAGGAGAAAGCACCCTCACCTTCTTTCATAACCCATGCACCAGGGTGGGCCGGTACAGCCTTGTTTCCAGAGCCTGACGGTGTGTGTGAAGGCCCGAACACAGGGGTGCGCCAGTCCCACCACAGTCACCAGCTGTTCTTCACAAACATTGGGCCTTGAAAAAAGAACAGCAGTACTGTGTCAGAAATATATATGTTTTATATATAAAGCACAAATCATTTATTTTTCTATTTAACATAAAAAGTTCATGGCTTAAAAAATATATTAAGAGAAAAATACAGGCAATCTAAAAAAAAAAAATTAAGCAGGTCAATTAAATGTAAAATTAAAAAATCCAGTACCAGGAAAAAAAAAAATCAGACTAGATTTTAAAGACCAGGAAAAAATTTAAAAGGCAAATATACAAGTCATAACTTCCCACATGGGTAGAAAAATTGAGCCGCCAATTAAGTTCTGAGTTCTTTAGTAGCCAAAATTTTGAAAAAGAACAGTATGTTAGAAATTTCAATACCCATGAAGAAAAAGCAAGCCAATTCATCAAAAGAAGTTAAATTTTTCCTGGAAATTATTTCTGAACAATATTTTCCATCTGAACATTTAATTGGATTTCACATATAATGCTTGTTTAAACACAAATATTTTTCAACCAGCATCATAGTAATATCCCCTTATAAAAAGTTAATACCATTTTACAGGATTTTAGACCAGCCATCTTTAATTTTTAAATGAGTAGGGCTAGATTATACTGGAAGCCTGGAGTATCAGAATTATTATTTTAAAATAATCTCCTTTTGTAGTTTGAGGAACTCTTAATGATGAATTATTTGCTAGTTCACATCATTTTGCATTGGAGAATACTACTCATTATAATAGCAAGGTAGTCCAACCACTCCTACTTCTTATACATTCCAGTCAAGCCAAGCATTGATGCCACTGAGAATGTGAAAAATGATTCAGACTTAAAGCTTCCTGACTTCAGGAAGGTCACAGTCTGACTGAGTCTCCCACACCTATAATTTGCTGAAAACCAATGAGCTCTGGGTCAGGAGCTCTAGTCAGCATCCCCCAAAAATACAAAACTGTGAACTTGTCCAGTGACACAATAATAATGCTGATGAATGTCCAATAGTGCCTCCCACACCATTTATCAGTTACATCATCAAGTGTGATTGCAGTTTCGTTTGGTTATCACTTTTTTCCTGTGGCTCTAAATCTCACCATCTGATTTCACTTACAGCCCAATTCTCACTTCCAGATGTATTTCTAAAAGGCGATTGTTTGGACTGTTAAACTCACTTAAATTGAATAAATTTCATGATGAACTTTATTTATCAGTTTGCATAGCACACTTTAATATTTTAGGTAAATATTGTAATAAAACCAGGAAGTGTAAAAACTGCACATAAACCAGGCATCTATAAAATCTTCAAGAATTGGGCAGCAAGCCTAAAGAAAATCTTAGCTTTTAAAAATTCCATATTAGACTTTTTTGTAAACTGCCATACATACACCTTTATGTGGCCTTACATGCTTTTTGTGAGCCAACTATCCCTAATTAGAATGTGCTCACAGCACCTGTATTTTTGTCAACAGTTTGAAACCTTACACATCATCCCACCTTGACCTCCCCTTTGAATCTCTTTTCTATCTGCTCACTCATCCATCCATGCATTCAAAAAATACTTATTGTGTAATTATATGTTTCAAAAGCATTGCTCCAAATAAGGACTTGGATATAAGTAGTTTTCTTAGGAGATACATAAAACACTGATCAACAAGTGATAAAATGAGACACAGAAGAACAGCCAGCCAATAAAAGATGCATCATGGAGCCAGACATTGTGGACCATATCTCTCCAACAGGGTGAGGGACCCTGAGCATTTATACACTAATTCCTATTGGTGTTTGGTCCAGGGATACTTCCTCCATGGAATTTCAGGCCCAAAGTGGTACAAGAGTTAGCATCTAGAAACCAAAGTGAGTCCTCAAAGCCAAGAAATGTATCCTGGCAGTTGAGAGCCTGGGAAGTGCACAGGGGTGAAGGAGAAGGTATCTGTGTGTGGCACTGCATTTCAGCTGTAAATATTACAAACAAAACAAAGTCCACATTCTCTGCATATTTATCAATAATCAGAAAAGAAAGTAAAAGGCACCCAAGTAGATACAAAAATGTTACATGTTAGGGTAAAAATATCTGGGAGCTGAGCTGGAATTGAGGGAAGCATATTAGAGCTCATTAATGAGGAGAGACTGTGCTGAAGAGGTGAACAATGAAGAGAAGACAGCCAGGGAAAAGAGCCAGAGAATGCCATTCAGGCAGAAGGAGGAGAGTGAGTAGGGGTGCTGTAAGAAAAAATGCTTGTCTTCCTAAGGCTATGAAAGAAGACCAAAATGGCTCAAATGATGGGATACTTGGTGAACTGGGCAGACCTTCCAGGCCAAAGACTTTGGATTTTATTCTCAGTGCACAGGAATGCACACAGACTTCCAGAGCTCTGATTTTTGTATACATTTCTATAGCTGGGATGTGGAGCTGGGCTTGTGATACTCTGTCAGGCATTAGCTACATCTTTTCTATAGCAAAACTTTCCAAGAGTTAGTTAGCCTCTGTTCTTCCCAACTCCAGCCAGGGAGGTTACTCACCTTAGGTACCTGGACATTCCAAAAAAAATCTGTCTAAATGAGCCCCATCAAATAGCCCCTTGTTAAGGGGTACATAAATTCTTACCTCTAGCTGTTCTGTGACCTATTCCCTATAGGATACTCACACATGTGTGTGAAACAAACTTTTCTCCTATTAATTTGTAACAATTAATTCACACACCACTCAGATCTTGGTCTATAGCAGAATGGTTTTTCCTTCCTCCAACACACATAAAAACTGAGTATTAAATTAAATTTTTATACATGACTGTCAAAGACTGTCATGTATGGTATTAATTCTTCAAAATCTATGAGTATAAAAATATCTACCACCAATTAGTACTTTGAAACAATCAAGTCCTTTTCTGTTTAAATGTATTTAAATGTTGTGCATACATGTGTACTTAACACTATGCATTCTTTGGTAACAGAAACATGGACATATATGTTTGTAACCGCCCCCCACACACACAAACACAGACCCCTACATTCAAGCTGGTATGGTTTTTCTTGATGAGTCTCTCACACTTAATAAATGCTTTCTTCTGCTTTGTTTTGGATATTTATTGAGATTCCCCATGAGTTATTTTGGATACTACATGTGATTTTGATAGTTCTCTACATATTCTAAGCTATTTTGTTGAAGATAAACAAGGTCATGATTATTGGATATACTTAGTAAATGGTTCCTTTCATTACACAGTGTTTCTCCTAACTCATGATGACATGTTTTGCATTGCTTTGATTTATCTTAAATCTGTCTGTCTGATGTTAACATTTTTATTCTGGCTTTCATTTGATTAACATTTTCTTAGTTATATCTAGCTCTGTTACTTTAGGTATTGCATACATTATTTTATCAGTTTATAGCTGCATTTAAATTTTTAATTTGTTAATTTCTGTCTTTTAATAGGTAAAGTAAATATAGTTACACACATTTTCATTACAAGTGTAAATGGACTAGTGTCATCTCCCTCTGTGGCTCCTATTTACCAGCAGTGTGCATTAACTCTTTCCCTCTCTCTTATGCCTTTGGGATGAAAAATGTTTCCTATGTTCTGTTTTGCACAATTTCTTTGACATAGTTCTATATTATAATTCTAATATTTTAGTGGCTTCTTTTACATTTTATACATATTATATGCCTTCTCTGTGATAGAATTGAACATTATTCCTTGTGATATAAGGAAGAATTTATCTGATCTTCATCCTAAATTCCTGATAAGGGGCTTCTAAAACTCTTGAAAATGCCTTGTGATAGGAGTATCTTTCTAATGCTAATGAAGTGACTTATGGGAAACTAGGTAGCTTCAGGATGAGGGCTGGTCACCAGAAAATCCAACCACAAGATCAGAGGGTAAAAACTTTTAGCTGCCTGGCCTCTGGGAAGGGGCCAGAAGAGGGTCTAGAACTTGGGTTAAATCACTGACCAACAATGCAACCCATCTGACTACCTGTGTAATGAAACCCCAGTAGAAACCCTGGACACTGAAGCTTGGCATATAATAACAACTACAATGCCTGAGTGCTATGAGTTATTATAGCAAACTACCATATTGACCCTGAGGAGGTCATGCAAAACACTATATTTGTAGCTGATAAGAAGCAAGGGCAGCCTGGGGACCTCCTGAGACTTGTCACTTTTAGTGAAGGCAGTTGTGTGGAGGGTCATGTCCTTAACCCAAGGGGTCTGTGCTAATGCCAGATAAATGTCAGAATTGAATAACAGCACAGCCAGGTAGTGTCTGATAGGTTTGCTGAAACACAGTAGTCATTGTACATTCCTTCAAACAAGAAAAAAATATAGCAACTTTTAACTACCAAATTACACACTAAAACGGAGATCTTTATTTATTTGTTTATTTATTTATTTGTTTATTTTATACTGGGGATTGGACCCAGTATCAGTGGCACTTAACCACTGAGCTACATGCCCCAACCTTTTATTATTTTTATTTTGAGACAGGGTCTCACTAAGTTGCTTAGGGCTTCACTAAGTTGCTAAAGCTGGTTCTTGAACTTGCAATCCCCTTGCCTAAGCTTCCCAAAGTCACTGAGATCATAGGTGTGTGCCACTATACCCAGATTGAAAGGGAGACTTTAACAGTTAGTAATTGATTAAATCACCAAACTATCTTGCCAAGTCCCAAGCTCAGCTATCTTTCTTATAACGTACACATCTCATATTTAATATAGGTATGCTTGGCTTTATTCCTTACAGGATTTAACACTTAATAATTTGACATTTTTCATAATTTTGAGTTATTTTTATTTCTGCAGGAATTGGTAGTCTGGTGATTTTGACAGCTGCCTTCCTTGGAATTAGTTTCTTTATTCCTTTTAGACTAGTTTACTAGTTTGCAGGCTTGTCTTGATTGAAAAGTTATTTTCTCTCTCCTCACCTATCAAGGGCAAAAGGATTTTTAGGAGACATTTTCTTACTGTCTTAGAATTGTGACCAGGGATAAGAGCTAAAAGCAAAAGGCACTAAATGTCCCCACATTCCAGAG